CTCAAAAAAAAAAAAAAAAAAAAAGAGTTTGGAGAACTCCCAGAGAATGGTACCTCCAGGGAGCCACCAAAAGTGAGGGCTAGAACTGGGGACCTTTATTCTGGTTTCTGCAGAGTAAAGGGAGATGCTGAAGCTGACCCCCTCCTCTAATTCCACCTGGGAAGGCTTCCAGGGAAGGGGCTTCAGGACCATCTTACTGCCTACTGGGTAGGCGGGGACAAGTTCCAAACAGCAGTAGGCAAGTGTGAGAGATATTCTGCCCGGTCGCAGCCCCTAATCAAGTGTGCCAGGGTAGAGAAAGGGCTCCATGAGCGGGGAGTGCACACAGCCTGAGCAGACAGGACCCTGTCAAAGCTGCCAGCATTTTCCCCACTTAGGAACCCCAGACTCAAGGCTGTGAGCCCAGTCCCTCACTGTCGGCAGGCGTCTAAACCCTGCTCTCTTTCAGGAGAGGTGGCGGGAGGATTATGCAAGCCCTGGGTCCTTGGCAGCCCCTAGTAGCACCCCCACCACCGCCCCCGCTCCCTCTGCACTCCTTCCCTCAGCCGCCTCTGCACCTCTGAGTTGCACTTGAAAACCTCTCCCCTCATGGCATCCTTCGTGGGAGAGAAGTTGCTTAGCAGCAAAGCAAAGTAGGATGTGCTTATGCAACCTGGAGCAGCACTGAGGCGGCCTGCGCAGGGGCTGCAGACAGAAGGGGACACACTGCCGCCCCACCCTAGACTCCAAAGGAAACACCATCCTGTTTCCTCTGAAAGACCCAAGTTCCCAGTCAGGAGCACATGGCAGAGGATGCTTGTTTCAACTCAGTGGAGCCTCAGTGTGACAGAACTGACAGAAAACACATGTGAAGAGACTTGAAAACACACTGACTCACTGAGCGTGGGGTCTGAAGAGCAGGGAAACTGTCAAACTGAGTGTGAGGAAGCGATCAAAGGCTTGCACCTCCCACACAGACCCAGGTCCTTCTCCACCTTCGGGGTCGGAGCGGGGAGAAACACTCCTGGCCAGGACCCTGCAGCTCTGCCCCTCTAGGCCCCCCTGCCCACTCCTGCATGAGCCTGAATGCACTGCCTGCAGCCCCTGCTGGAGGCAACCGACCTGCACACACCAGGCAGGGAGCTGACATTCAGGCTCTGTTCCGTGGCTGCTTACCTTGATGTAGTTGATGAACTCTGTCAGGAAGCTCTGGGACTAGAGAAGCAGAGAAATCAGGATGAGCACCCCCTATCAAGGCCACAGGGTTCTGTACCCATCCACCCAAGCACCACCTGCTCACTTGAGGGCCACCTGCCTGCAGCCTGCCTTGGGCCCACCCGACCACCTGCATGTACCACTTGCTTACACAAGCAGCAGAGCCTTCCAGGGTAAGCGTTTCGGAGGCACCAGCCTCTGCTGAGGACGAGGCCTCTGGCCGCTAAACCCTGCTGGTACTGACACCCACCCACCTCTCACTGCCTGGCCGGGACATCTGGGATGGGGTGGCTAGCCTTGGGTCTGGCACAGGCTGCACTGATGGGTACAGAGAGGGGCTTCCCAGGGGCACCAGGCCCACCTGTTCCTCAGTCATGGTCTCTCCCACGCCTTCCTCCTCCACCACAAAGGCCTCCTTCAGTTTCAGGTACTCCTCATGCTCCCGCTGGGCCTGCTCCTCGCGGGCCTTCCTCTCCTCCTCCTCCTGTGGACACAGGAGGCAAAAGTCAGGAATTGGGGGCAGGTTCCCACCCCATCCCTGTTCTGGTTGCTGCTACCCCTGCAGGACACCAGAGCATACAGCCCAGCGTTTTCTCAGAGACAGAGCTCCTTCAAGACCCCCATTCCTCCATCCCCCAAGGTGAACAATGGGCCGAGGCCCCTCTTGTCATCAGTTTCATCATCACCTGGACAAATGCTGCTCAGCCCCTGCTCCTGCCCTTCATGCTCAGGGGATCTTAGCAAAAATCTGTTGAAAACCCCACCATGACCCCCCTCTACAATACCTTCCAATCACCTGACCCATCCTTTCCTTGTGTAACTCATTAAGCATACCCCATCATGTCCAAACCTCATGAGCAAATGTGAACCCTGCATTTCCTCACCACCCACTCACCCAGTCAGCCCACTACAGTCTGGCTTCTGTGTTCCCAGTTCTATGAAACAACTCCTGCCACAGTCTCACCCATGCCCTCCACTCACCAAACTCAAGGCACAACCTTCAGGTCTCATATGCCTGTCCTCTCAGTGATCCTTCTTTTCTCCCTTGGCTTCCAGATCCCACCCTCTCCTGGATTTCCTCCTGCTCCTTGGGCCATTCTTCCCGCCTCCTTCATCATTCAGCCCTGCCTCTTCTCTCTCCTCCACATTCTCTGGGCCACCTCGCCCATGCCCAAAGCATCAACCCCTTCCTTGCCAGTGACTACCACACTTGTATCCCCACCTGAATCTCTTCTCCCAAACACACAACGGTCCATGTGACACATCTACTGGGCCATCTCACAGGCAGCAGACAGACCCTAGGACCTGCTCTTCTATGCTTAGACCTCCTCCTGGGTCCCTGGCTCCGTGAATTAACACAGCCAACTGGTCAGAAATGAGGTCCGACTGACCACTTCTTTCTCGAACTTCCAGGAAACTCCCTGGTCTGTCATGTTGCTCCATCACCACTACTGCCTGGTACAACAGCCTCCCTCAACCCATTTTCCAGAGCACTCAGAAAAATTTTCTTCAAACAGAAAGCTAAAGCTGGGGCAAGTAATATACAAGATGAGTCTGGGGCATCTTGCAGTGCCAGAAACTAAGTACTCAAAAAACAAAACAACGAGTGTGTGTTAAAGGTACACAGGAGCCAAATGAAACGGCTCCCAGTGGTCAAAGCTGGAACAATCTGAACAACACAATAAATAACATGTTGCCGGGCGCAGTGGCTCACGCCTGTAATCCCAGCACTTTGGGAGCCCAAGGTGGGCAGATCACAAGGTCAGGAGATCCGGACCATCCTGGCTAACATGGTGAAATCTCATCTCTACTAAAAATACAAAAAAATTAGCCAGGCATGGCGGGCGCCTGTAGTCCCAGCTACTTGGGGCTGAGGCAGGAGAATGGCGTGAACCTGGGAGGCGGAGCTTGCAGTGAGCTGAGATTGCACCACTGCACTCCAGCCTGGGCGACAGAGCAAGACTCTGTCTCAAAAAATAAATAAATAAAATAAAGTAAAATAAAATAAATTAAGAAATAACATGTTACTGGATTACAACACAAAGTACAAAATAAATACTCATGAGTCTATACAGATATAAAAAAAATGGCTGGTCACGCACGGTGGCTTATGCCGGTAATCCCAACACTTTGGGAGGCTGAGGCGGGCACATCACCTGAAGTCAGGAGTTCAAGACCATCCTGGCCAACATGGTGAAACCCCGTCTCTACTAAAAATACAAAAATTAGCTGGGTGTGGTGGCGGGCGCCTGTAATCCCAGCTACTTGGGAGGCTGAGACAGGATAATTGAACCTGCAAAGCAGAGGTTGCAGTGAGCCCAGATTGAGCCATTGCACTGTAGCCTGGGTGACAGAGTGGGACTCCATCTCAGGAAAAAAAAAAAAAAAAAAAAAGACTGCATTAATATGTAATGAATAGGGAAGAAGAGACATATCTCCTGTAAGAGATTTCCAAATAATTTATGTAAGAACTCCAACCCCCCAACCCTTAAGTGTGGGCTGTGCACAGTGACTTATTTCCAAAGAAATATGGGAAGAGGGGAAAAAAGCAGTCACATTACAGTGGAGAAAGCTGGCAAACAAAACCGCAGCCAGGCGACCAAGGTTAACAACATTAGGGATAAGTGAAGGGGATAACCTGCGTGCTTAGTATGTTGCATTGAAGATGGAACTTCACTTATTGTCTTCTTCAGTCAGATCCATAACCCCGGTCTAACCATGAGAAAAACAACCAAACTCAAATTAAGGGACCTTCTACAAACTACTTGCCCAGGACTCCTCAAAATTGTTAAGGCTGGGCACAGTGGCTCACACCTGTAATCCCAGCACTTTGGGAGGCCAAGGGAAGAGGATTGCTTGAGTCTAGGAGTTCAAAAGCAGTCTGGGAAACATGGTGAAACCCAATCTCCACACACACACACACACAAAATTAGCCAGGCATGGTGGTGCACACCTATAGTCCCAGCTACTCGTGGGGAGGGGGATCTAAGGTGGGAGGATTGCTTGAGCCTGGGAGTCAGAGGTTGCAGTGAGCCAAGATCGTGCCACCGCACTCCAGCCTGGGCAATAGAGCAAGATTTGTCCTAATCAATCAATAAACAAAAATCTGAATAATGTTAGAGTTTAGTTACTAATAATGTGTCAATATTAGTTGTGAGGAATGTATTAAAGTGAGGTAAGATGTTAAGGATAAGGGAAACTGGTTACAGGGGAGAAGAGCCAGGATATTTAAGGTACATTAAGTGGGACAAATATTCAGAAAGGTAAAAAACCCTCTCTGCTAATTCCTCCCCTATGCTGTATTCTGGCTTATCAGCCACAGCACCCACATCCAGGATCCTGGGACAACAGGCCAGTCAGAGGTCACAGGTCTTCCCAGCTAGGGCAGCTCCGGCTCTAACCCTACGTACCCAACGTTTTTACGCTGTTCCCTTTTTTGGAAACCTGGTTCTCAGAACAAAGGAAGCATCTGGCAAACAAATGTTCATTAGTCACCTTTACTGCAATGGTCCCCATTCCCTGAGCACCTCCTCTATGCCAGGCCCTCAATGCAGCCACCATCTCTTACAATGATCTTTAACGGCCTCAAGGCTTTCAGGATCCAGACCCCCATCACCTCTCTGCCATCTCTTCCTCCTCTCCTGGCTTTCTTTGCCCAGCTGCCCTGCCTGCCTCGTGTTCCTCACATGTTCCCTGAAAGTTCAATAGTCACGTGCACAAGAATCCTCACTCTGGGCTCTGCTTTTCAGCAGCTGCTTTTCCAGGCTGTGCTGGAGCCTAGGGAACAAATAAACCAGAACCTGCCCTTGTGCCAGATCTATGGCCCACCTTCTATGTTGGAGGTGCCAAGGAGCTGCATAAGAAGCAAGGCTGCCTGGTCAAAGGTCAGAAGTCAGGGTTGGGGCTGGCCTCACCTTCTGCTCCTCCTCTAGGCGAAGCCGCTCCTCCTCCTTTTTCCACTCAGCTTCGCGCTGGGACTCGAGTCGTTTCCGCTCCTCACGTTCAGCCTCCTCTGCCTAGAGAGAGGTCTTCATAGGGGCACATCCCTCACCCCAGCTAGAGTGTGCCCACCTCCCAGACAGACTAGGGAAGGCAATGCCTGGGCCAGGGCACAGACCCAGGCAGCAGGAGACAGAGTCAGGGAGGCAGCAAGCATCAGCCCAGCAGGCAAGGAGCCCTGAGTCTGCCTTAGGGGAAAAGGCAGGCAGGGCCCTTTCCCACTTCCCAGAGCTGCATCCCATCCCTCCGGCTTGCCTCACGCTGGGCCTTTCGCGCTTGTTTCTCCTCCAGCTTCCGCAGTTTCTTAGCTCCAATTTTCCCTGACAGGTGAGTTTCCGCTGACTTCTCAACGTCTTCTTCCTCCTGGGCTGGGTATGATCAAAGAAAGACAGTAGGTTCTGACCAGAGAGGACTGACGATGATGGATCCCCAACCCCTCGTCCCTCTCCTAATGGGGGGGTCCCCTTCCACTCACCTGCAAATGTCACTAGCCCAGCTCTGCCCTCCAGAGGCATCTGCCATAAGCGCATGTGTGTGTGCGGGTGCATGAATATGTAGGGATGGAAGAATGGTGAGGGGTCCACAGGGCAAGGGAAAAGATGAGAACTTTGGGCTAGGTGCGGTGGCTCACGCCTGTAATCCCAGCACTTTGGGAGGTCGAGGCGGGCGGATCACGAGGTCAGGAGATGGAGACCATCCTCGCAATCGTGGTGAAACCCCATCTCTATCAAAAATACAAAAAAAGGGCCGGGCGCAGTGGCTCACGCCTGTAATCCCAGCACTTTGGGAGGCTGAGGCGGACAGATCACGAGGTCAGGAGATCGAGACTATCCTTGCTAACATGGTGAAACCCCGTCTCTACTAAAAACACAAAAAATTAGCCAGGCGTGGTGGCGGGCGCCTGTAGTCCCAGGTACTCAGGAGGCTGAGGCAGGAGAATGGCGAGAACCCGGGAGGCGGAGCTTGCAGTGAGCCGAGATCATGCTACTGCACTCCAGCCTGGGTGACAGAGCGAGACTCTGTCTCAAAAAAAAAAAAAAAAGATAAGAACTTTAGATATTGCATAGTCATAAAAAGGGAGGTATCAGGTTAAAATATGCAAGTGTCTCGGGGTCACAGATAGGGCTGCCTGGATATTTAAGGTACTGTGGCTGATGAGCCAGAATACAGCATGGGGGAAGCATTAGCAGAGAGGGTTTTTGTTTGTTTGTTTCTTTGTGTTTTTTTTGTTTTTTTTTTGAGACAGTGTCTCGCTCTGTCGCCCAGGCTGGAGTGCAGTGGTGCGATCTCGGCTCACTGCAAGCTCCGCCTCCCGGGTTCACACCATTCTCCTGCCTCAGTCTTCTGAGTAGCTGGGACTACAGGCACCCACCACCACGCTCGGCTAATTTTTTTTTTTTGCATTTTTAGTAGAAATGGGGTTTCACCATGTTAGCCAGGATGGTCTTGATCTCCTGACCTCGTGATCCGCCTGCCTCAGCCTCCCAAAGTGCTGGGATTACAGGGATGAGCCATTGCGCCTGGCCCAAGGAGGGTTTTTTTACCTTTGAATACTGGTCTCACCTAATGTACCTTAAATATCCTGGCTAATGAACTACAGAGTTCTCTGGTTTCTGTCTCTGGTGCCAAACCCCCAGAGAAGGGAAGTCCTATGGGGAAATTTATCCTGCCTCAAATCTGAAATCCTCCTCACCACAGTCAGGAGTTGCTGAGGATTCTGGGCTTAGTCCCTGGCTAGGATTATCCCTTTGCCCACCAAAGCCTGGCTGAAAAGACAGTCCCAACACCATGACTACCTCAGGGCCAGCTGCAAGTTAAAGACCCACTGACACCTGTGCAGCAAGGGTCTTTGAACCCAAGTCTGAGCCAAAAGGTAGGCAAAGAAGGGGCCTCTTTGTGAGCTAAAGGGATAATCCCTAAGGGTACAAGGCAAAAGCCTCAAATGCCCCCAGTTTCTGAGAAAGACCCAGACGCCCCCTCCTCAGGCTCAAGCCAGCTGTCCAAGTACTGGAGAAGACAATCCTGAGGGCTCTCCTGGTCTCCCGGAAGCAGGGATATGGAGACCTCTGTGTCAACAGAATGTCTCCATCTTTAAACTGTTTTCCTGGGGTTGTGGGTGACCCCACTCCAGAACTGCAGAAACTCTTGGCCAGACACTCTGCCTCTAGGGTGAAATCCTCAGGGAATGAGTGTGCCCATAACAGGAAGGGTGCGAGGATAGAAGGGGTGAATTGAGGAACATTCTGAATCAATCTGAAGACCCTTGCCCTCTGCTTGGACACTGAGAGCCAAGATGAAGGAAGAGGGGGGTTGACCCAGTGGAACAAATGCCAGGTCCCAAGAATCCCCCTACTCTACCGTGTGGCTCCCAGATGTCCCTCCTACTCTGAGGCTTCATACCCTACTCCCCCACTTAGTTTTGGGGGCCTCTTTATCTCCCCCTCTAACCCAGACCCTCTCCCCACCAGGCTGGGCTCCTCTCACCTAGGATGACAGCTTCCTGCTCATTCTCATCTGCTTCTGCCAAGGTCACCCGCTGGGCTCGACGCTGGGCCTGTAGGCGGCTGCCCAGGTCCCTCCGGCGCCGAGGCCTGCCTTCAGCTCTCGGCTCCTCAGGCTCCAGGGGCCTAGGCTGGGCCACCCGGCCTGCTCCTGCCAGCTCCTCATTGTGCAGTGACTCTTGGCTGGCTGTAGGAAAGACAGAAATGACAATGCTGCCTGGAAGCCCAGCCCGGCCCATGGCAGGAGGAGCGGCAGCCTGGAAGCCTCACCTCCTCTGCTCAGTGGTCTGCTGTTCACAGCACAAGGCCCCGACTTCTCAGTCTGACTGGCAAGACCTTTTCCCCCAGGCCCACAGCTTGGTCCCAGGCGGTGGCTCAGCCCTTCCCTCGGGCCTGTATGAATACTCTTCTCTCCTCTCCCAGCTCCACCTTTCCAGCTGGCCTGTCAGGAGTCCCCTATCCTGATGTCCCCAGCTCTCATCGAGTACCCGCTGCAGGAATCCATTGATTTCTCGCCTAACACCACCTGTGGTTTTACCTGGCTCCCCAACCAGAAAGTACACTTCCCGGCAGTAGCCGAGCCTTTCCCTGGAAGACCTGCTGGCTCTCCGCCTTTCCTCAGCGTGGTCCTCCCGCCCCTGGGAGCGCGCAGGTGCTCAGAGGCATCTTGTGGGCCCAGGGAGCAGGAAGACACACAAACCCGCCCGCTGACCAGAAATGGGGGAAAAGAGAGAGGATGGGTGTATCTGTTCTGTGTCCTGGCCAGTGACACGGCCTTTTGATCGGGGAGCAGATTAGGGAGGGAGCGTGGGCGCTCTCTTTGGCGGGAAGGGATAGAGCTTCAGGAGTTTCCTGGAGCCGTCTCGCGCTTCTCCAGCTCGTGGGGGGCAGGCAGAAAATATTCAGATGCCCCCTTCCTGGCACCTGCTCTGGAGCCAGGTTGGGAGGAATGGGAAACCCCTGCGGCCACCTTAACAGGTGCAGAGGGAAAGGGCCCAGACAGTGACGGATGGGAGTGGGCGCCGGCCAGGGCCTGAGGCCTTTGGAGGTACGGAGCTCCCGGGAATGAAGAGAGGGATGAGGCCAGACTCTGGCTTGGGGTCGAGAGAAAGGGGTACCAGCGCGGCCACC